GTTTTGGGGTTGAAAGTTTGGAGTCAACTAAATGGTTGATTTTATATAGCCACTAGGGTGGGTCAACTTAATAATCCACTGGTATCGTGAGTCGGTCAGTTCTTGGGATGATCGTATGTGTTAGATTCACAGAATTCCTTTTCTATTGCTCGAACATGTAGCAAAGCAGTTTCATTCCTTGCCGTACGGATCTATTTGCTTGTTGCTGAAGGAAGTGTTACTGCCATGCAAAGCTACAGCAAATTTAACCCGCACTTTTCAACGCTATTTTTTTAACTAGTTCGTTTATTTGGAAGGCTCAATCGCGTTAGCTTTACGGAGGCGATAGCTCATTGTTCTTTGTTTGTAACTAAATTCACTTAGTTCTATGTCTAGTAGGAGTTGGGCCGAATACTCGCGGCTTACTCGAGGTTAGAGAGGTACATTGTCGAAGGATAGGATCAGTGGAGGAGCTTGGGGGTAAGGTTTCGTTGTCTAGCTTCGCCTGGAGCGATTAGAGCCATATTAACGGAGATAAATCAATTTTAAGGTTTGGCAGGCCCACCAGCTGCCAAATAGAGGATTTGTATTATTTTATTCTGGGAAATCCGGGTATTGAAATTTCGAGCATCTGAACACCCCTCTTTTTGCGATTAGAGTCATATTAACGGAGATAAATCAATTTTAAGGTTTGGCAGGCCCACCAGGTGCCTAATAGAAGATTTTGTATTATTTTATACTGGGAAATCCGGGTATTGAAATTTTGAGCATCTAAACACCCCTCTTTTTGCGATTAGAGCCATATTAACGGAGATAAATCAATTTTAAGGTTTGGCAGGCCCACCAGCTGCCTAATAGAAGATTTTGTATTATTTTATACTGGGAAATCCGGGTATTGAAATTTTGAGCATCTAAACACCCCTCTTTTTGCGATTAGAGCCATATTAACGGAGATAAATCAATTTTAAGGCTTGGCAGGCCCACCAGCTGCCAAATAGAGGATTTTGTATTATTTTATACTGGGAAATCCGGGTATTGAAATTTTGAGCATCTGAACACCCCTCTTTTTGCGATTAGAGCCATATTAACGGAGATAATTCCATTTAAAGCTTTGGCAAACTACAGGAACCTTGTTCCGTTTATGTTGCTGAGCTAGCAGCAATCAACTTCGCATTGGGGATGATTTCCGACATGCCCATAGACCATTACTTCATCTTCTCCGGTAGTCTCAGTTCAATTGATTGATTGAAGAATCTTCAAGACAGTGAGATTAAATGAAAATTTCAAAATCATTAGTTAGATTTGTCAGATTCTGAGAAAACTTGCTATAAGGCTGATGACAATTTTCAATTCCTCCATGAAGTTTGAAGAAATTTTCAAAATTCTGGAACGCAGATTACGATTTCGGATCTTGAAATGTTTTCCAAGATCCCAGATTTGAAAACAATTATCAATATAATGGATCTTAGAAAATTTTCAAGATGGGCTTGAAGAAAATATTCATGATTCTGGGATTTCGTGGCACCTCGGGAATTTCTGAAGAATTTTGTGGTGAACTTGAAGGGAATCCTTAAGAGCATTCTACCAGTCGGTGCCGCCGGGATTTCCGAGGCATAAAATCTCTGATCACGCCTTCCTTCGGGAAAGTAAAGCCGTTGGTCCCCGGTCCCATGAGTATATGTGTCAATAGGTAGGGTCCAGTTGTGGTTTGCAATACGAAAAACAAGATCGACGGAAAAAAATCCAGAACAAAAATAACGAGTATTCTAAGAGAGTTCAATCGGCTCCGTAAAGCTAACGTGATTGAGCCTTCCAAATAAATGAACTGGAAAAAAGAGAGTTCTGAATGGAATTCCATTTTAATTTTGAGGAGGATTTCAAGCGAAATCTATAGAATGCTTCCAATATAATTCTGAGAATCTTTTAATTCCTTGTAAATGCTTAAGAGATTTCCAAGGGAGTTCTGATAAGAATTCAAACGAGAAGAGCTTCAATTTAATTCTATGTAGAATTCCAAACTGAAAAGAAAATTCAAAAGATTTTGTAAGCATAATTAATAAGCTAATGTGAGACTATCCTCAAGGGAACTCTGAGAGCATTCCAATTGAATTATGAGACGAAATTCAACGGGAGATCGAAGCATGATTCCACCACACAGCAAAAAATAAATTTTAATGTTACATCCAAGATCATGCACTTCAATCATGTCGAAAATCTCACGGAATTTTAATGGCCACAAAAATAAACAAATGCAGTAAAAGCAGCGTAATTTCAGTTAATGATAATTTTGGTCCTTTTGGGGAATAATATTACACCATATTTTCGACACGATTGAAGTGCATGCACTTTGATGTAACATTAAAATTTATTTTGACGTAGGACTACGTCTTTGATTTCTATATGGGGGTACACTTTGTGAAAACTGAAAATGGAACATGTAACAAATTAAGAAAGATTTTGAACGTTAATAACTTAGCTGCCCCTGGTTCAATTTAAATAATTTTATCACCAACCGATCAGAAATATGGCTACGTATCGATAACAATGCTTTCGAATGTTGATTTTCAACAAGAAACTATTGAAAAATTGGTAAATGTCCAGCATTAACCAAAAGCGTCGAATTAACTAACAAATCCACCAATTACCTACATGCATATGCTGCTTCCCCAGCACAGTCGTCAGAGAGTAGTAAGTAGACGAAACAAGCCGAAGTGGCATTCGCCTTCGATCCTCGGGCGCGTGCGAATAGGGAGGATGGAATTGCGTAATATTTTGCACACTCGCCGTGTACGCAAAAGGAAAAGAGCCAGTGTCGCTACTTGATAGCAAACTACTCATAATGGGAGGAGTCTTTGTAGCTTTTATATCACTTGGTTGCACATAATTCTGCTTTAACCTGAAAAGATATAAAAGAGCGCTGCTGTATGGCATTAGCTCATTTTCGCTTCGGACGGCGTGGTGAACAGCAACAGCAGTAGTGGTGGCTAGTCCACTCCTTCACACCTAACAAGCAACAATTGACTGGTCGTGGCAAAGGAGGAAAAGGTCTGGTAAAGGAGGCGCCAAGCGTCATCGCAAAGTTCTTCGAGATAACCGCCATCGGTCGTCTGGCTCGCCGTGGTGGTATCAAACGTATCTCCGGTCTGATCTACGAGGTGTGCTCAAGGTGTTCCTGGAAAATGAGGTCCGTGATGCTGTCACCTACACTAAACACGCCAAGCGTAAGTGGCTATGGATGTCCTCTTCAATAAAACGGTCCTTTTCAGGGCCATCAAACTTACACCAGTAAAGAGTTGGAATAGAATTTATCTGTGCTTGTTTGTCCATATTCAGAACCACAAGCCCCCAACGACCACACAATGCTCTCCAGAGTTGTAATCTTGTAACCAAACTTGGAAGCAGGGGTGCAAGTAATTTTGATTGATTCTCTTAATCAACTTTCCCTTTGAAAAAAAAAATACTACAAATTTGGTACGACTACAATTCAAAAACGGAAAGAGTTGAGATAATAGATAATTGATCAATAAAAGAACTAAATGCTCTTCACATTTGTTCCGTCCACTAGCGGTCCTACGTCAAGCTTCCGTTCGTGCCCCTAGGCACAGACCCTTCTACTTTTTTGGTTTGCAGAGAACAAGAAAACTTAATGCATGTCTAGGAATATTGACTAGGAATTGTGAGGAGAAATACAGGTAAATTTTAAGTAGAAGTTTAAAGCATTTCTGATGAGAATTCCAAGGGAAGTCTTGCTATAATTTCAGGAGAATTATGAGAAAAATTCGATGCAAGTTCTGAGCATAGATCATAAGTAAATTTAAGGTTTTTTCAATCGAGTTCTTATGAGATTTCTAAGTGAATTTTTAGGAGTTCTAAAAGGAATTCCATGGACTATTAAGATGCAATGTCTATGAGAATTTCATGGAAACTAAAACTGGAATTCCATGAGAATTCTGAAGCAATATGAGTTGGAAGAAAATTTCTGGAAAAAGGGGAATCTTCCGGCACTGCCACAAGAAACTTCTTAGAAAGTAAGGGGGAAAAAACCTCTAAAGAAGTCGGAAGACAATTTCCGACAACTTCATGTATCGTCTAACAAAAATTAATACATGAACATTCTGATTAACCTATCTGACTACTGGATATAATTATTTTCAGATTCCCGGGAAGATCACCCTACTGTTTCCTAATTCCCAGATAGTCAAAAAGGTTAGGACATGGAAACACTACTCAGAATTCAATACCCTCGAAGTCTCATGAAAACTTCTCAACAAATTCTCAGAATTTATTTAGAATATTCATTTGAAATGGACCTGCAATCTTCTTCACAATCCACATGGAATTTCCCCCAGAACTACCTAAAACATCTCACACAATTGACTTCTAATTTTAATCAAAACTGTCTTCCCAAAACTCCCTTGGAATGTTTCACTGAAATACCTTATTGTTATCTCTAAAAATATTTTTCTTCTTCTTATTCTTCGCATTTCAAGCTTATCTCTTATCGCATATTAGCTTATTGCGTGCTCTTAACTTAGTGTTCTAGATGCACTTCAACAGTTTTTAATTGAGAGCTTCCGATGTTTATACCATTTTTGCATTAGTATAATTGTGTGCCAAGTACAATCATACTCGATGCCCAGGGAAGTCGAGAGATTTTCCAACCCGAAAAGTTCCTCGACCGGACCGGGAATCGAACACATTCACCTCCAGCATGGTCTTGCTTTGTAGCTGCGCCTTTACCGAGTGAGCTAATGGAGGCAGTCCAAATTCTCCTCAACGCTCTCTTCATAGTTCTTCAAAGTGACTGTATTCTGAAAATCTAGTCCAGTCCAAGGGTCTCGATATTTTGTCAAGGTCCAGAATCTTATTCTTCCGATGAGCTTGAGCTTGAATGACCACACATATCGTAGTTGCTACTCCATGATTGACAAAGCTAGCTAAATTGTTTATTGTTGTTTATTTACCTATCATTCATCTGACCCGTTTGTGGTCTTACTGAACAGTTAAATTTATGCACAAGACTAGAACATAACTGTTAACGGTGAACCACCACACATTTAACAATCGAGCAGGTCACCTCACTTGATTTTGGCCACCTCGTACAAGTACGCTCCTAGCAGTTTAGTCCCCTCGATGTAGTTGCGAACATCGATCTTTTCATTCTGCGAGTGAGCCCCATCGTCCGAAGCACCCATCGGCAGCAGAAGTACATTCTTGCCGGTGGTTTGCTGCAGAGTCAGTGTCACCGGAATGGATCCTCCTTCGCGGGTCATATCCGGTTCTACCTTATAGACATGCTTCGTGGACACGCTGGCCGCGTTATAATGCGGATGATTCGGATCTTCGGTCCATGGATTTCCACTGTGAGTCATTCGAACGGCACACTTGTTCGGAGAGCCACGTTCCGCCCACTTGATCGTCAGGCAGTGATGCAAAATATCATGACACTCACGTGACACTCGTCTTCGCATCAACCGACTATCGCTGACCGATCGTTTTGTCACGCAGTGAGAGTTAGAGCCATGGCAAACAACAATCACCAGTAATGGTCGCTGCTCACAAGCAAAACGTTACACTCACTGCTGATGATGAAAAGCACAACGAAAACAGTGAAGACTTCTGCAGTACGATCATGAGAGAAAGCGAAACGACAGAAGAAAATGAAAACAATGCCTACGCATTCCAAGATCGTCTCGACAGGCGCAACTGTGTGAGTTACAAACAAAGCAGGCAACGTTAAACGGAAGCTGTTGGGCTCACTCACCAACACACTCACATAAGCAAGCGACGCAACTGCTTCAAAACAAGCACAAATGAGTGTCGTGATTGTCGGGAATGACCAGATCGGTGATGGATCACAACAGAAGACGACATTCACCAGTTGCTTTTTACTTCTTTCGTCAACTTGATGGATGGTCATGGAGAGAGCTTCCACGAGCACATTGATAGGAATATACAAAGCGTTACTACCATCAGCTGTTTGACGATCGTGATTGTGATGGGTCGCAACTCTGTCGTCAGGTACTCGGTAACTTACTTCTCCACCAGCTCCGGCGTCTGATCCGAAACGATATGGATCGAGCATTTTGGAATAACCTTCTTCGGGATGACCGTCTTCTGGCCAGGCTCGTAAAAGACACCCTCAACACCGTGCAGTGGAGCAACCTCCTTGTAGAGATTCGGAATGAGAATCTTTCCCTCCTTATCGGCAAGCGTTCCCAGCAAGTACACCAAATCGTTCATGGCCTCGTAAACCGTACCTCCGAAAACTTCACTGTGCAGATCCTTTCCAGCGCATCCGACCTCAACGTCAAAGTAGCAGATACTTCTCAAACCATAGGTGATGCACGGCTTGGTCGTTCCCAACCAATAATTGTTAGAAATGCAAACAAAGTCCACATTGAATAGGAAGTCATTCTGCCGCTTGAACAACAGAGCATCCAAACCCTTACGGCCGGATTCATCCATCCCTTCGAAAACGAACTTCAAATTCACCGGCAGAGGCTCTCCAATCGCCTGGTACGCTTCGATTACATGGATCCACCCCAACACTGGGCCCTTGTCGTCACAGGCACCCCAACCGTACAGCTTTCCATCTTTCTCGGTCAGAACGAACGGTTCCGTGTCCCAACCGTCTTCGCGAATCGCTGGCTGAACGTCCAGGTGACCGTACAGCACGACGGGATCATTGCCCAGCGTTCCCAAGATCACATATTGCAGATCCAGAAGCAAACCTTCACGGATGGACGGGTTCTGGATCTGCCGAATGTGCCGAATGATTCGATCCTAGCAATCCAACTGGCAAAATACGGGCACCAGGCAGACTTCAAAATTGATCGTACCAGCGAGCAATACAGGGATCGTAGGCAGAGTGGGTCCCAGAACTCTGCATAAATTATGAATAGGAATCCAAGCTGCCTAGAGATTACGTCGCTATAGTGTACTCGAAATGTAAGAGCGCTATCTAGCATAACACCCAAGTCTCGTATTTGATTGACTTGTTGTAGAGGCTGTTCTGCGATGTAGTAATCAAAAGCAAACGGTTTGATCTTTCGATGGAACGAAATGATACTGCAAAAATGCTAACCGTCATGAAATTACTAGAACACCACATTTCAAAGCAGTTTACCATCCTCTGCAGCTCGAAACAATCTAGTAGATTCCTAATTATCATGTAGATCTTGACAACGTTCGCGTAAAACATTCTGTATCCAGGTGGCAGCATAAGTTCGATTTCATTGATAAATAGAACGAATAACAATGGCCCAAGATTGCTTCCTTGGGGTACTCCGGTGGTGTCGGAAAATGTCGCAAATTGTTCGGATCTAATTTTTATACACAGCGTGCGACTAGTTAGACGCGATCTGAACCAAGTGACAAAAGCAGGAGACATGCCCATTTTTTTTCCAGTCTAGCTAGTAATATTCCATGGTCAACGTCAACACCATCGAGCGCGGCTTTAAGCGTATAAACAGCGTCGACTTGGGCACCAGAATCCATGCTTTTGGGAAGAATCCGTGATGTTCAATGGAATTGTAACGCTGGCAGCTGGCAAACAAAGTATCATTTACAGTGATCTAGAACACCTTCGAACTAGCACACAGCGATGCACAATCAACCAACCGGATGTAGCTTGGATTGAGCTGAGCATGGCGCCGGCCACGTCCTTGCGGTCATTGAGGAAGGGAAGGAATGTTAGTTCAACCACCGTTGTTAATAAGGACCGAGTTTACCTCTACATCTCCACGGTTGTCACGGGAAGGAGTTTTGCTAGAAGGAAGGGTGAATATGATTAAGATTCACAACGGTAAGTGATGTGATTGTTTGTTTGCAACGCGACACTTAACTCTTTAATACGAAGGAGCAACGAGCATCCCGCTAAAAACACCATTCACGCCTATGAGAAACCTGGTCGGTCCGAAAAAGCCCAGAATTCCCCTTGCTCATTAGATCAGGCTTTGCTGTATGTACCAAGTGGCAAGCAGGTGGTGGGGAAGCTGCCCAAATCGCGCGAAACTGCACTAGTTCATCGTGATAATCTATCGCCAAAATGCGAAGTCTGTCACGAGTAATTAGTTGGAATATTTGAAATCGAATCGGGATTTGCCAGGGGCGGTGCATTGTGCGCGATGCGGATGTGTTCTGTTCGACAAACCGAAAACGGTGCTAAAGCTTTTGAATACCATACCATACGCTCTGATACTTTGGCAAGTGTATTTTATTTGAATTATGACGGGAAGTTCTCAATGAACAGATTTTTAAGGCGTGCATTAATTGAATCAACCAACGAAATGCTCAGTGTGAATAACTGTTGTGTTTCCGTTGGATTGTTTATCGGAAACAATTAAACCAGTTTCATGACTGCAGAAAAAGTCCAACAAAAATCAAACCACCCAACGCCCAAATCCAGTTCCGACAGTCGCAAAATTAAAACACATAAAACAGGAAACAGTCGCTGAACAAAACACAAACAATGCCACAAAATGCAAATCACCTCATTTGGCCCGAGAAATTTCCGCTCTCATTGTGTGTGCCACTATCTCGATCGAAGGCATCATAAGCCCAAATAGAGTCAAAATTCAAACACACACACCTCGATACCTATCTATGACCAGCCGCCAGTATCATCTAAATATTATTCCCACGCGCACTCCAGTACTAATGGCGGGCAGCCGGCCATTTAGATGCTAATTAAACCATTCATTACCGGGCGTCAATTTAATTCAATTTCTTCCTGCGACTAACCCATAAATAAAACCGGCAGCCCGCACACCTCCTGCAGGAGCAATCCCCGTTTCGCATCGGGCGTGGCCGGTTGAAGTGTTCAGTCTAGTACCGCTAGTGAGCTACTGTCGATTGCCAATTGCTGCGTGAATGACACACAGCACTATAAATGGATACTGATTCGATGGTAATGGGTACTTCGGAAGCAGTAAAATGCATTGCATTGGCAATAACTGCACTTTATTGGAGCTGGTCGATGGCTTTGCGAATCTAAAACCAACGATTTTCGACGTTTATTCGCTCGGTTTGACCTAGATTCGGAAGCACTTTCTTCGGATCAAATGTTGTTCAAAGACTAAGTCCCAAGATGCGATCAAGCGTTGCGCTCCTTTAGCTTTTGACTCTTTTGCATCCATCCGTTGTGGTGATTTTTAGATTGTTTTGTTCCGGTCTGACCAACACATTGATCTTCTGGGATGTGTCCGTGTACTTTGTTTAGTGACTGTCGCTATGCATTCTATAGGTTTGCAGTCTTTGCCAAAGTTGCCCAGCTTATTAAGAGACAACTTTTGTGGTTTCTGATAAGTTCGTATCCCTGCCGCATAAGTGGCGCTCGGCCTACTAAGAAAGCTTACCGTAAAAATGGCGTACTGACATTTTTACAGTATATAAGCAATCATATCGAAGACAACATATCAAGAAGACTGGCTACTCTTCAATTTTCTCATACGACCGCTATGAGACCGACACAATCGCGTCATCTGCCGCTCAAAGGTGAATGCTTCGAACGATTTGATAGACAAGATTACAATCTCAGAAGAAAGGTTTGTGTATTTGCTCATTTGTCTATGCATTACTTCCACCTTCGCTCGAGTGCAGTGCTACTGCATCTGCCGCTTGGATTCTGGCAGAGTTGCCGAAATGATGGAAATAACTCAATTGATAACTGAAATAACGCCAAAAAGAGGCAAGAATTTTTAATTGGAGTGGTTAGTAGACCTAGCTAGATATCGAAATGGACTTAGTGAAATAGCAAACAGCAGGCATTTTTAAAATGCTCATTTGAATTTATTATTCAAATTTTACATATTCTAATGATGTGTTGCAATGACATGTTTCCTGATCCCGTTGAGATATGTATATTGAATTATCCATCAAGGTCTGCATTAATAATTTTGATAAAATGCTACGTGTTAAGCTCACATTTCTCAGATAAGCGTTAAAAAATTGTGATCAATATTTTGATGAGGAATTTTTTGACGTAGGACTACGTCTTTGATTTCTATATCGGGGTACACTTTGTGAAAACCGAGAATGGAACATGTAACAAATTAAGAAAGATTTTGAACGTTAATAACTCAGCTGCCCCTGGTCCAATTTCAATAATTTTATCACCAATCGATCAGAAATATGGCTATGCATCGCTAAGCAATGCTTCCGGATGTTGATTTTCAACAAGAAACTATTGAAAAACTGGTAAATGTCCAGCATTTTCCAAAAGCGTTGAATTAACTAACAAATCCACCAATTACCTTCATACATATGCTGCTTCCCCAGCACAGTCGTCAGAGAGTAGTAAGTAGACGAAACAAGTCGAAGTGGCATTCGCCTTCGATCCTCGGGCGCGTGCGAATAGGGAGGATGAAATTGCGTAATATTTTACACACTCATCGCCATACTCAGAACCACACGCTCCCAACGACCACACCACTGTGTGGTTGTGTTCGGTCGTCGAAATTAGTAGCAACAGTAGCAGCAGTAGCACTGCTTTCGGCGTGTGGCGTTGAAAATTGTTCTCCAGTAACAACGAAAGGCTGCCTGCAAGCAGCGAGCTGCAGAGCCCACGTAAGCAACCATCAAAGGAGGAAGAAGCTGCTCCGCTATACTATGGATCTGAATCAGTAGCTCTTCGTGAGTCGCTGCGGGTCGGTCATCTATGCCATGCGTGTCACCCTCGCTCCAAATGACATACAGCTCGACAGCCTTATCCGTGTTGAACACCCAGCTCAGAATTACTCAACCATCACTACAAAACGGTCCTTTTCAAGCCCACCAAAAATTTGTTAAAGAGTATTATTTGGACATTGGTCAAGGTCATCAGTTCCCGCAAGCAGCTAGCTATCAAGGCTCAACCTGTCTATAGAAGGTGTGGAATTGTAGGCCCGAATGTATTGGTGAGATTAATCATAGTCTGACCATTTTCCAGAACATGCTGGTAGGAAGTGTTAAAAATCCATATAGAATTTGAGAGAAGTGGAAATAATTAGCTTTGGGTGTATATTCAGTCCCCAGAAAGCCAATAAAATCAAATTTGTGAGAAAATTAGCTCTCACGAGTTCAATCTCTCAAGTCCCTCCTTTTTTACATATTCTGCACAAACGATACTTTCCGCCCCGCCCCATTCATATAATTCGGAAGGAAATCCTGTGAGGGGTGAGTTGAATACACTTTAATACCAAAATGCACAAAATTTAAAAATTCATATATAACAAAAAATTCAAAATACACCTTTTAAAGTCGGGTAGATGAATCGAAACTTGACAGTCCCTTGGATTCTCTTTATCAACTTTCTCTTTGAAATAAATACTACCAATTTGATACGCTTACAAATAAAAAACGGAGAGAGTTAAGATAATTGATGATTGATCAATTAAAAGAACTAAATGTTCACATTTGTTCCGTCCACCAGCGGTCCTAGGTCAAGCTTCCGTTCGTGCCCCTAGGCACAGACCCTTCTACTTTTTTGTACGCCTAAAACTTACTTTCAGTGAGTCGGCGGTCTTGGATGTGTTTGACAACTTTAAAATGCACAACTTTGCCCAAGAAACCATCCTTGTAGGATGCTCCATTCAAAAGTAAGATTCGAGTGTCAAAAGATGGCTCTTTCGAAAAGAAATAACTTTGTCAACGACTGATAATTTGTAGGATGCCTACCGGCGGTGCTAGAGATTTTGGCCACGCTATCTGGATCGTTTCTCTGTTGTGTGTCGTATTTAGAGCTGATAAATTTCAGGTTCTCTCACTATCACGAGACA